CAATCAATTACATTTGTTTTAGAGAATAAGATATTCTTTATGTCCATATAACCCTTGAAGGTATAATGCATGATAATAAAATTATATTTTATCGTTTACTTGATTGTTTTATCTCAGACTAATAACAAAAATTCACTTTAATTTCTCATACAAATTTAAACAAAACTATTAACGAAATAAAGGTGTTCAGAATCGTTCACTTATTAAGACGTGTTTTGCCAAGATTTACTTGTTATAATTGGTGATATACCATGACAAGAATGGTGATTTCGAACAAAAAGTACGTTTAGTTGTTTTCCTTTGTTCCAATTCTACCTGCTCGTTTTTTCTCCCTTATCCATCATTTGTCTTTTCCTGAGGAGTCTAGAATCATTAGCCCGCTTCTGTCCGTCCCCATCTGCTAGACTGTTTCTTGTAACATCCTGGCATTCCCGTGGTTTTCTCTGACGAACTGCAGCCATCATTAGTCCCCCACTGCACGCCGGAACTTTTGCTTCATTTTACGTTCTGTACGGGAGCAATACTCTGATCCGTAAAGCACTGGCGATTCCTAACACGTGGAATATGACAGTAGAATCACGAATACAACGGCTATTCAACATTTATAGTCCTTGGTTGTTTATTTCGTTCAACTGTTAACTCCATGACAATAAATTGTAATTTTAATATTTTATGGTTATCTGATAGAGTCATTTTAACATTATAACCTATTTAAAGTCACGGGTGACAGTCTTTTTTTTAGAATCTCTCGCTTATTGTTTACATCGCCCCAGTATCTTGTCAACAGTACACATTATGAAGCTCTTTTATCTGTATATTTTAATGTCTTTGGCACAGATATTCTGAAACACTTTCAGTCTAGTATGTGACATACTTAGCTTTATGGTCGTTTATGAGAAATGCTTATTTACTTTGCTAATAAAATATCACGTCCTAAAGCACTAGATAATCCTGGATATTTTACACCCATGTAAAAAATCAGCTGACGTTATTACAGTGATGATGGTATTCTTCTAGATTTTTGTGTCGTTTAGACTCGTAGATGGATGCCAGCGTTTCGGAGAAATATACTGTTTCCATCTTCAGGGGAAAGTGGCGATACTGGAAAGTGGAGGAATTTATATTAGGTTTGGAGGAAGTACCAGTAGAACGGCCGAGTAGCTCAGAAAAGAAATATATATTCTTCGCGCAGAAAAGATTTAACTGTAAGATTTGTAATTTTAGTCAAAAATACATGTGTATGACAAAGTGTGATTTATTGAACATTGGGTGGTAGAAAGTTGACAGCTCATTTCCGTCGGTATAGTAACACAGCATGAAAGCATGAAGTATAAGGCAGATTATTTAAAACTGTCTTGGTAAGAATCAACTTTCATGTAAAAGCTTACATTTGTACAAAAAGGCCAACACAAACTAATAGTCATATAAACTATCTCTGTCACATGTGTGCATACATTTTGCTTGTGGGAAAATCCAAAGTTAGATCTTTCTAAACTATTGACATGCAAAGTTCCGGGCAAGTATAGATTTTAAGTATCATCCGGTAAAATGCATTCTATGTTTCGAGCGGTCATGGTAAGAAAGAGAATAAAAGCTACGAAAACGCATTCAAATTAAAAATTATTTTGAAAGCAAAATTTTCGGACCGTGTATAATTTATTTATAGATTTCTCCCAACCAAAAAGTTCACATGACAGATATGTTGAAAATTTTAAATGCCAGAATTTAAAGGATGTATGTATAGGGTTCACAGTGAGTTCCATGGCAGTAAGCTAAATAATTTGAAATGTGTAGTGAGAAGTTTATGGAATAAATACGATACATGGATTCTATCCACAAAAGACCGAACGACAATAACGAGAAGTTATCTATCACTGCTTTTTGGAGAGGTCTCGGCCAACTGATCGGCTAAGCCGACTCAGGTCGTTCGTGGTATTCCTCGGTCACCCCAAAAACCATTTTATCTATGAATAAGACATAACACTCCCACACAATGGGATTTAATAATAACCAGAGATGGAAAGAGGAAGGAACAGAACCTCGGTCTTGCGAAACGCCAGTGACAGAATTGCGGAGGCTTTCATAACCTGCGCCTGTTTTGACTGCATACTCTGATCCAAATTCTTGAATTACTTCTTTCTCCCCTTGTTTACTATCCATTAAATTCCGCTGTTTCTTATAGTTTCAGCAATTCATATTCGTTTTCCCTGTCCGTCTATATTATAAAATTTAGTTATTGTGGTTGGTTGCTTCCTTTTATTTATGTTTCTTTGCGCTCACAGAGGCCTCTGAGTTCTCAGTGATGATGATGCTTGACAAGACGTATATTTCAAAAGCAGAGGACTTTGCCATTGGTACGAAAACACACTGGTTCTATATGAAGTGCTCGTTTCCAAATTCATATGGGCTAGTTTCGGTTACTTATGTCTTATTTCTGTCTTTCCCGCACGTAAAATGCACGTGTACGAAGCGTCGGGCTATTAACTTCATTTACTTCTTCTGATTCCCAATCGCAATTATTATCCATCCTTCATTTGTCCTTTTTCCAGTCCCTTCTATGAAAATTCATCATGAATTTCCTTTATTCAGTTAACTCCTCTCCCACCAGGTGGCATCCACTTGAGCACTTCATTCGACCATCTGTTGTCTGTTATTCTTTGGATGTGCTCGTACCATTTTAATTGTTTTGTTTTAAGTTATACAAAATGTAATTTTATTTTATTTTTTATGATTGCGTGATTGTACAATTTACTTTCCTTGATATTCTTGTTAATTGTCTCTAAAACTCCTTTTCAATTTCCAATTCTTTTATTAATTTTCTTCTTAAATTTGCATATTTTCGAAACGCATAATCTTATTCCTTCATTATTCAATTATTTCGTTTTTATTGCAACTCATTAATCCCATGACTCACCACTCATATTCAGTACTGCCCCAAAAACGTTGTAACAACCAAAATATCGGTCTCTTGTAGTGTTACAGTGTCTCCTACAAGAGACCTCGTACATCCAGAGACATAGAATTATTGTGATGGGCCAGATTGTGCAAGAGTGATAACTGCAAGTTCTTGAGTGTGGTCATCTTCAAATTTATTGCCTTCTGGCTTTATACAACTCATATAAACTTTGTTAGAAATAATTTTCCGATGGTCCCTTCCGTAGTCAACATTGACTATGTAGAGCAGAGAACTTCATTAGAAGCTAACAGTCTCTCACCCAGTCAAGAAATTTTTTTATGCACCTCGAAGTTACAATGACGTCGTTACAAGAGCCCACCACTGGAGATTTTGAGTCAGAAGACTTTCCATGTTTCAAGAATAAAATCCTTGAATGTGTCGATTTTTGAGCCACATGAAGATATTCAGAGCAATGTGCTGATATTTTGGAGATGTAGTTGTATTTGAAAAGATAATATTAAGTGGGCCTTAAAGGTGTAAAATTTCGGGAAGTGGTGTGTATTTACACTTTGGTATATCAGGGTGGTATTGTGGATGGTACCTACTTTATAACCAGAAATATCTTTACTGTGGGAAACCGCGTTGTCATGATTAAAAAATCACTTTGCCAGAAAGACATTTCTTTTTTACCAGTGCTCTACAGTCAGCGTTTCAAAAGACTAAGGAGATTGTTCAACTGTTCACTTCGAAGGACAAATTCATATATTTCTTTCACATCAATAAGTAACATTGTTATGATTCTGACCTTTCATTTTGAGATTCTCCTTTTATGAGCTCAGAAAATCTACATTTTTCCATTATAGACTTGGTCGTTTTATTTCTGTTTAATAATGGAAAACTCTTGTCTAATTATTAGTTACTTCTTTTTAAAAAATACTGGTTTATAAAAAAAATATTTTTGAAAAATTCAAGCAGAGTATTGTTTTTTTAGAATCAAAAACACTACCTGAATAAAACACTTAACTGCAATATTGACGCATGAAATCAAGCAATTCAATCATACGCGTTGCTAGGTGCCCCACGAAGAGTGTGCCCTGTTATTTATTTGTCAGATCTTGTAGCTTTACTTTGCTGTTATACTGATCATTATTAAGGCTCGCCACGACATCAGAGCTCTTCTGAACTGAGAATAATTTTTAGGCCATAAAGTAATTGAAATAAGTCTGGAAGCTTTCCTTCATGTGAGGTGGACACGCCACGGTAGGTAAACAGAGCTCCGTATCTACTCTGTCCGTGAGACAGTGATTCCAATTATACCGTGTTTTAAAAGACTCACTTCACCGAAAGCTACATGTCTTGTTTATTATACATATTAGAATATAATTACATATTAAAGATATTATTAAACTACATAATTACAACGTATGTTGAAATTGTCTGCCAGCCTGTTGATAATAAAACTCATCTTTAAAGATATTATTAAACTACATAATTATAACGTATGTTGAAATTGTGTGCCAGCCTGTTGATAATAATACTCATCCCGTTTAAACATGTTCGTAGGAATTTAGAGACATTGACTTTCCTTGTTCTTGTAGACATTTTTGGTACAGTAGCATCAGGAATGTGCACGTGATATAAGTGTTTAATTGATTCATAATGACTGCGTTCGAAAATTATTTTCACTGATAAACATAACCCTGCACTGCTAAAAGTGATATGGTGCTTTTTACACAAACAATTGGCTGAAAATCAACGAAAACAAATATATTGAGTCAAATCACCGACTTGTTGAATTAACAAGATCCCTCTTTTGCAACTTGGCACGGCAAAGTGAAATTTTCTTATTATGCTAACGCAATATTTACCTTTAAACTTTAGGTTGCGTGACCTGGGTCTCACAATCTAACCAAATCATTAATCACATCCTTAAACATATCGATATCGTATTGGCACGCTGGTATCATGTGTGAATATATACAATGTGACCATTATTACATCAGCACATAACAGGTAGATTTTAAATGTTACAGCAGACGCATTTCGTTTTCACTTTATCAGTTACTTTTCCTGTGTCTGACGGCGAACCCCTTTCTATTTCCAGGTTTTGAACAAGTTCAAACTACTACCGACGTGGGAGAAACAGAAAGACTTCCCTTTATCAAGACAGAGGCTAAGGATCTCGTCCCGCCTAGAACAGGGACGGAGAGGAAGTAGAAGGATAATAAAGTAAGTGGATACATTTTCATTGATAAATTTATATTTTAATATTGATATATACCTTGAGATTTACATATGACGATGTTTTAGAACTGAGTAGCTTCCACATTTTATTCCAGTCTGCAAATGTAATTTGTATGCCTACTTGAAAATACGTATTTCATAATACGAAATATATTAGTATATAACATAATTTATAATTACGCACATAATTTAGTTTCTTTTAACTTTTTAGAATGCTTTGAAGTACATGTTTATTCATTCAACCTATTAAAGGAATATTATTTTGATGTTTTAAATCACGTCGTTCGATATCTGTTAAAATGTGCAGTAGGATTTCTTTAAGTTATTTAAAATGAATTTCCCCATTTGAGACGAGTTCATACAGTTTGATAGGCTACATCCAACAGGATATGATATGTCAAGGTTGCTGTAAGTTGCGTGGACTTTTCATTAACATCGATTCACCGATTCATGAAGGCGCATTTTTGTGTTCATAAACGTGGCACTGCCCTGTTGTATGATTATGAATATCCAGTAGATAAAATATATCACTTTCAAGAAAATATATTAAGCTTACTTTTTACAAAATATGCACTCGTGTCTGGAATATATTTAGGAATTTTTCTTATGCGTATATGTTTAAAATCTTGCAAATTGAATTAAATCATTTTCCTCCAGTTATTCATCTGTGTAGTTGTTATGATGGTTAGATATTAGATAGCCCTCTGACGAATAGTGCATAACTCTAACTACAGTTCGCGATTGTAATCTTGAGACTTGCGGGGTCAGGAAGTGGGGTGAACTACGGACTTCCTGCATTCCTTGCAAGTCTCAAGATTACAGTCGTGGACTATAGAACTTTTTGTTTATGTGTGTATGCGTGTTTGTATGTTGTGTGTGTGTGTGTGTGATTAAGGTGTGCACTCTGAACATTAATTTTTTCTATTGAAGAAATTACCTCCTCAAATTAAAAAAGCTATTAAACGTACCCCAGCATTTTATATGGTGTTAATTAAAATAATTTTATACCTTAAATGTTGCAAATGTATCTGAAATGTGTATTAACGAAATTTACAAAAAGGCTGCCACTCTCATTCATAAATATGTAAGACCTATAAGACACATCAGTCATCGCTCTCATTCATAAATATGTAAGACCTATGATACACATCAGTCATCATTATTGATGTGACGAGTGGCAAGACTACGCATACTGGCTTTCAGAGATCTGTGACACTGATGATGGAGGCAGACAGTATGAGAAACGTTGAATTACAACGCTGATTGTCCGAGAATACTTCGGTGCGTTCAGTCACCGTGAATGCTTTGTTTCTTACAAATCCCTACGTAGATTGCCTTTTCAAGTATTTGTTCTATCGTAGTGCGAAATGGAATCTGTTATTAGACAGCTTACCAACTGTGAAGAAGGTATTTATTGCTTGATCTGAGTTATAACATTAAGCATACTTGAGAATAAGCTATTAGTCATATTCACATGAATTATTTCGTTGTGCTGATAGCATTTCAACAGTTGGTAAGTTCATAGACGTGACTTGGCATTGCTTGCTACTTAAATATTTTATTATTCCATTTTGTTTACAATCGATCATTGCAACATTAATAAACACGTGGGATCTGTTTTAGAAGAACGTAAATTAAATGTGGTTGGTGTTAAAAGAAATATTTCTTGTAGATCGGAACACGATTTGAAATAATGGAAAGAAGTTGTCGGTCGATGTGTGGGGAGAATAAGAACAAGAAATAAAGCAAAGCAAGAAGCCGCATTGACAACTAGTGAGAATAAGAAGACACTGTTGCTTTGTCCAGTTCGGTTGCTAGTCGTGCTACAAAAGTGTTTGTAGCCAAAGGTTTCCACACAGCTTGAATCTTCTGCCGAATGACTAACTGCCTCAGCAGGGATCACTATGTCGCCTGGCTTTGATCTACCGGGGTAGCATTGTCGGCGAAGTGACTCGGTGCATTTTCAACTCTCGCTTTCTGTATCTGACTTTCCACATGCTGATGTAGTAATAATAAAAAGTATAGTCCCCAAGCATTTCTTTATACGCTGATATGGTGCAAGAGTGAACTATTTCCATTGGCCATTATTTACTCAGCAAAACTACTATTTCCATTGGCCATTATTTACTCAATAAAACCTCTAATATTTTTTCGTGTGACCAAGGATTTTGCTTGTCTCTCCGCCACATTCTTATTAATATTCAATAAAGCTTGCTTGCATTATAAACGCCTTAATAAAATAATGAAAGAATCAGGAATAAATGCTATGTTAACTTTTTGAGGCCGAATATAGCCTAAAAATTATTTTAAATTTCTTCTCTACGTCAAAGAGTTAATGGCTATTAAAGCAGATGGTACATACAGTTACTGTCGGGTTTTAAAGAGTTGATCACGACTTTTCACTCTCAGGAACATAATTTATATATGACACGTGTGTGCCGGAAAATAAAGTTTTATGTTCCAAATTCCGAGACGTTCACAGGAGGATTTGACATGCAGACGTGACTCTCATAACAACATTCTCCATGATATTAGTAAGTTCTGTCCTTGCTGTTTTTATAAAATTGCTAGAAGACCACCCTAACTCTTTCTAACATAGTCTTTTCCTGTCAAAATAAATTAGCTGACCACCTTACAGTTCTGTGGTTCTAAAGTATGTGGAACTTTACGTACTTGTTTTGTCCCCATAGACTGGCCATTAAAAATAACTGACGATTTGAAACCAGAGGTTATTTTATATATTTATAAGAACCTTGCTTCCCTATCGTTGCCAAGTAACCACTATACTATTCTCCTTATCTTTATATTTAACGTGGCTTATTTGTCACTTTAAAGCACAGTGTCTCGTTTGCCGAAAAATGTAAATTAGTTTATCTTTTCAATCGAGCCCCGTAGTTCTTTATTTGAGGTAAAAACTGAATTTATAAATATTATTTACATCAGCTTGGTGCTTTAAAGTAATGTAGACTTATTTGTAACTGTAACATGCACTGAGACTTTTCTGTAAATAAGTAAAAGAGCCGAAGATTTATTTATGCGCTCTTTCAGCATTTTAGTAATCGCAAGATTTATTTTGGTTTCTAAATGGTAATGCAGGGCAAATGCCCATTTGCTACCCAAGTACATATTGTCGTAACTTCCACTGTGGTATGTGTCAAATACTTTTTTTTTCAAGGTGTCAAAACATTTATATTTACCAGCGAACCAGCGAACCATTGAATGGTTTGATTCTTGTTATAATTTTTTTAGTTAATATTTCTTTTAATTTTTTTTTTGATTTCTATTAGTTTATTAGGGTTTTTTAGTTAGATTCGTGGATCGTTAGAGTCCGCCCTCTCGGCCGACAGGCTGAAGATTCAAACAACCCAAATTATTTCATTAATCGAGGTCTCCAAGTGGCGGCGTTACAATATTAAATTAAATGTTGAAATAGAAACCATTACTTATTTATTTATTGAAAACAATGTTGTAATTGTAACTCATGTTCTGGAAGACATTAAAGCTCAGATACATATGTCAAATTTGAGGGCCTGACACCTCTCGTTCTCTGCGTTTTTAAGATGTGACTTGGTGTTTTCTATATTATTTCATAGCTTTGTAATCTTTCGTATGACGTTACTTTGCCTTGATAGAGACGATAAAACTTTCGTTTTGACCACGATGAAATAACTATCTTAAGGGTTCAAACATAAGGGGGCCTGGGCCCACTCGCATTTTATATTATACATAGGCTTAGACCCCTGATCGGTAATATTATCTAAATAAAAAAAAAGCAAAAATGATAAAACTTAAATTTAAAACTACATAACCTTGATATTACTGGGATCGCTACATAAGGTCTAAGCACATAATTCATGGGCCTAAGAAATTTGTTTAGCGACAAGAAATAGCAGTTCTTGTTCCCAAAGAAACTACACACTTGGCGTGCTGGTATAGCAAGAGTATTTTAAGAAGAGGTCGATAATGGCTCTTGAGTCATTCTCGATTTGGTACATTTATAGCTAGATAAAATACTTAAAATTTATACTGAAAGGATAACACGTACGTCGATTCTGGTAAGACCTTCAAATAACAGGCAGAACCGTGACGCTGCTCAAACTGTGACGCTGGCAAGCCGACAAGATGTTTTCTGAGCATCTATGGATTAGCAACTTTCTGACTAATGATTAGTATGGTATTTCTTGTTCATTTTTACAATACTTAGGTTTCGCACGTTCTGTAGGGTGCAGGACTGGCATCAAACTTTTTAAAAACCGTATCTGAAGCGGTGAAATAGGTACCACCCGTTGGGAAGTTAACCATTATACTCATGGGATTTGCGATTTGAAAAATACATTTCCAAACTTTCGAACGGTAGCTTTTCAGAAGATGTACGGAATGTAGGTGAGAAACAACATACAGTTAGAGCAACAAAGCCACAAAACAACACCGTGTTTTGACTACATGTAGTACGGTAGTTGGTTAGCAACGTTTCGAAGCTTTTTGCAGCCTCGGGAAGGACGTTGCGGAGTTACGTTCCTCCCGTTTTGCTACGAATTATCCAAGGTTTCTCTGAAAATATGGATTTTTCTCTCAAAAGGACCTTATTTTATAATGACATTGAAAATCCCCAGAGCTTATTATTTTCCATAGTAGTACATTATTACCTGTAACTACCATGAAATGTCGGCTCTCAACAGCTACAAGTGTATTATATGAGGGAACAAGAAATACAGAACAAGTTGTGTATGTGTAACAGCTTATTAGTGGATGAAGTCAGCACGTGAACTTGAAGATATCTGTCTTCTGGGTAGTTGCGCCCTGATGACGGAGGCAGTATGACCTCCGAAACGTTGGTGAACATCGACCAGACTACACAGCGCAACAACCCAGAAGACAGAAATCTTCATACTCACCGCTGTGAAAACCTCAGATCTTACATGGTAAGAAGTTTTCTTCAAGACGAAGCCTATCTGCAATACGCCGTGAACACAAATGATCTCAACAGCTTCAAATACTTAGTTCACAAAAACTGAACGGCGTGCAGGAATGTAACTACTACCACTGAAGGAGAAATCCAGAATTTATTTAGGTGAAGTAGTGGAGTTCAATAGTTTGTTGTTCTGTACATATGAAAGTCATACGCTCTACTTTGCCAGACTCTTTCTAGCAGATCACGATGAACGTTCCAAACAGCATTCTGTATTCTGCACATTAAATTTTCAAATGTTACTGGCAGACTTTTTTCTCCTTGATGTAGCCCCAAAAGAGGTAATCGAGGGGCGCTGAATGTCGAGGACGCTGCGGCCAGGAAATGGGCCCTGTCAGCCGATCCAATGATCAGGAAATTTAAAGATCGTGGACATGTGGCGGCGTACCTTACTGTTGAAAAACATCTGGTTTCTCTTGTAACAGCTGGGGAATTAGTCAAAACACTTTCTCCGTCTGAGCCGCCATTTTACTGCGCTCCTAGTGGCCACTGTTGGAGTTGTGTAACTTCTCCCATATACTACAGAAATTTTTTATGCGCAAGCGTGCATTTATTCATGCGTTCATGCTATGTTAGTGTGTAAGCATCTCTGTATATGTGGGTTTATTTTATTTAATGATCCTGTCAATAACTCAGACTGTACGGCATCAAATGGTCAGGTGACCAATGAAGTGTCCTGATTTAAGGTAGACCCTACTATTCCAGTATGTGTCTGGAGGTGTGAGGAAAACCACGAAGCATCTCAGTTATGATAGCCAATTTTCAGTCTTAGATATCAATACATGCCCTCTCACATAAGAAACAGGAATGCTAAGTATTTGTCCGCGGTGTATGCATGGGTAACTATGAACACGTACGCTATCAAGTCTCGACTTCAGCTGCTTTCCAAATTTCTCTGTTTTCTGTGCTGTAAACTCTACATAAACCTAAAATTAACCCACACATCAAGTTAAATCAGTAGACTGCCTTGCCCATCTGATCTTACCATTAACATGTGAAATTCATTTTAATAATATACTGTAGATAATAACAATCGTATATTTTAACAGTTACTTTCTTCGTATTAATGTAGGTGTATTCTCTAACAACGTGAATTCCCTTTTATGACATGGAAAGAATCAAACTAAACTTAACCAGATATTTGCGTTTAGAATCAGCAGATTTGAAGCCAAGACGCTGCAAAAGCAATGAAATATATCAAAACCCTTCAAGTCACTGAAACGACTTCTAAAAATATGACATAGGCGTGTGTAGTAATAAAACAATTGTGTCATATTTACACCTATGAATCCATTCATATGATTTGTGACTGCTATTACACATAAGAAACTTGTATGACAATATTATGCATTTCTTTTATGTGGTATATTTTCCTTAAAAATGTAGTCCTATTTACGAACGACGAGAGACGAAAGGGTTTTAAGGGTAGGGTAATCATCATCTTCATCTGAGGTAAATATGTAGAGGACGCAGTTCTATGTCACTAACCTTCGTGCCGTATTTCATGAGGTACAAATGCCCCCTCTCTTACTACGGAAGTCGTAGGCCTATATATAATGCATGAAGGTTTCAGCATCACCATAAATTCAGTGTCATCTGCATTCAAAGCATGAAAGGCAAAGGTTACATATTTTTTATCTGTTCGAGTTTTACCAAATAAACTAGCAATGAAAACAGATTTATCGGTAAGGTAAACATAGATCGTGTATTACGCATAAATAGAAAATTTGTTAAAATTCTTTAGTCTTATGAGCACTTAAAACATGATTTTTATTTCTAATTAAAACGTGTTGAAAACCCAGGTTTTATAAAATGGAAGGAATTTCTTAACTGCTTAAGCGACTGCGTGTTTTTTAAGAATAATCTGATTTTAGGAATTTAGAAGTGTAACTTGTTCAATTTAATGTATTAAATTTATTTTATTTTATTTCACTAATGTGTCGGAGTACGTCAGTTAATAAAATAACTGCATTGGCGTCTACACTCTCGCTTTGATACGTATTAATTTTATAATCAACGAGTAACAGGGAATGAAGATGGCTTAATTGTCGAATGTGGCCCACATAACAGATAAATTAATGGGAGAATATTATTTTAGGACATTTGGCTCAGAATTCCTGTCTTGAACATAATAATATTCTGTAACAACAGGAAACCCTATGTGGGCTACATTGTACACAGCACGTTTTAACTATTGGTCCATGAGTCCAAGTTAATAGCAGATTTTTGTTTACCCACTCTTATCTGTTGCTACGTTTCAGAACATAATGTATTCACCGAACGTCTACTTTTACGCAGACAGACTATTGGTTTATTTCACGAAGCCATTTTAGCTGCATAGGTTATGCGTTCTCAAATGGTAGGATAATTGTGTATGATGAAGAAAGAAGGTAGGAAATGCAAACACAGCCTAATAATTCTGGCGTTTTCGCCTGAATTTGAAAATACTTTTTCATTATTAATCTCATGAAACATTTCGCAAACATCAAAAGGAGTTGCCAATAGCATCTACTTCACTACAACTCTACTAAAGGCAGTTTAGTCAAAGGACAGTTAGAAAGGATGACAATGGGCAGTACTACATTGGCTCATTAGCTTGTTCCACGTGCAGCAAAAGTATTGCTCTCAGACTTTATTTTAATCGCAATTTGAACATATTGTGTGTGTGTGTGTGTGTGTGTGTGTAGCTATCCTGTACAGTGATCTGTTACATAATCATCAATTATAATGTGCCCACTCTAATTTCCATTCACATGGAGGAAAGACCCAAATTCAAGCGCAAGTTTTCTGTTAATCTCTCCTGGATTTCGGCAGTTATAACAACCACTGCTATGAAAAGTAGAAGTTTTCTATTACGTAACATTTAAGAAATTGCAAACAACAATCTTTTCCAGATAAAAAATATTAGGTCAAATTATG